TGCCTATATGAGTATTGTGTGTGTACAGTGGTTGTGTGCGCTGCTGTCCCAATCTCTGCATACATTTGGGTGCATATGCATTGTGTGTGCGTGCGCTGCTGTCTCGATCTCTGCATGCATTTGGGTGCATATGCATTGTGTGTATTGCCAATGTGCACGTGGCAATTGCATGCACATGCAGGCCATAGACGCGATGTCATAGTGTTGCCAGATATACTATTTTGAATCCCATGGAAATGATAAAAATCCCTTTAGAAAGAGAATTATAATTTTTACTTTTGATATAAACAGAAAATGTTATATGTATTTTTTTTTCTGACCTGTTCTATAATTTCAATACAAATAAAATAATTCATAAACCCTTGACGTACCGATAGTTCGAAAATCCCAATTTGGAGCGGCACGTATGCTAGCACGATCTGGCTATACACGTGTATATACGTGTCGTCGATCGTGGACGTGTGTTGTTTCGTTACATGTTGTCTCGCGCTGCTGTTTTATTTTCACATCCAACTTAGCATTTAACAGAGATTCTTTCGCAATATTTTTTGTGACTTTTGACTGCTACAGTTTTTGAAAGTGAAAGGGAACTGTCATTTCAATGATGCTTGGTTAGAGCACCCCGTTTATCATGAGTGGATTATGAAAGTAAGCTCAAATCCATCGACTGCAAGATGTGCTGTTTGCATGTGCAATTTCAGTCTCAGCAACATGGGCGAAGCAGCCGTCAAGAGCCACATGAAGAGTGAAAAACACAAGACAAAGCTAGTCAAACAATGTGGTAAGTTTACATTTCTTTTGGAAATATTGCATTGCTCATCTTTTGGTAACCAAACAAACATATTTCCTCTAAATTGAAAGATTTGGTAGTAAAATCAAGGTTTTAAATCATAATTCCGTCCGGTATACCAACTCGTAATCATGAGATTTCCGTAACTATCCAAGATGGCGGCACCCATGAGACGATTGAATTCGGAGTTTCGGAAAATCAGAAGTAATTATTTCAGTAATTTGTTGACAAATTTTCAACAAAATTTCACAATTTCAGAGGTATTGTGCAGAATTTATCTCGCTTAAAAACACAGCAAAATTATGTAGAAGAGAAGAGGAGTAAAACGAAAACTGCAAGTTAAAATTTTGTTGGTACCACTCACAGAGTCTCACTCTCAGTCTCAGACTCAGTTTGATGTCCAACTTGACTTGTTTTTGTACAACAAGAGTGTTCTGTATCATATAAAAATATGTTACGAAAATAGAAAGTGATAGGCATAACACTCCACTGAGCTATCCATTTCAAAATTTCAAATTTTTTGGTGGTAATTGGAATCGTCCAAATGCTGCCTTGCTGGGGTTCACAAGCCAATTTGTGTCCGAGTCACAAAGTCTCAAAGAAATAAAATTAAAAAAAAGAAAGAAAGAAATTAATTTAATAAATTTATAATGAAAAAGGGATGACTAGGATTATTATTTCAGCAAAGTTAGTGACAATTTTATGATGAATATTATTATGTGCTTACTAGTTAATGTGTGCTAAGTGTACACAGTCAACTGACTGTGAGGTTGAATTACACATTTATTTGAATTGAAGTGCTTCAGAAGAAATATTTTTCGTAATGGTAAAAATGGATTTAAAAATTGTATTACTTGATTGAAGGAAGGATCAAAATTGGAACTTATCACAGATGGAAGCTCATTTTGTTTTGAAATTTGTATAGTTTTACAAGATCCTGTCAATTATTATGGAATATTTCAGGATATACACTATAGAATATAAAAGAGAAAAAAATCTAGAATTTACCACTTTGATTTATGTTCTCTTTTTCCTTAAGGCTCATCTACTCTCACAATAAAGAGCTTCTTCAAGCCAAAAGGAGAATGTCCATCAGTTTCTATCACTCAGTCTGCAGATGCAACCCCGAGTACTTGTGCTCCATCAACCTCCAAAGTGACATCTCCCATTCCTGTTGCTGCTAGAGAGGATACATTGAAAGCAGAAATACTCTGGTGCCTGAAAGTGGTTAAGGACCATTTATCATTTCATTCCTGTCAGCACAATAGCGACCTCTTTCAAAGAATGTTCCCAGATTCAGCGATTGCAAAAGGGTTCCAATTGTCAGAGACAAAATGCAGATACATGACTGTGTTTGGTTTGGGGCCATATGTGCAAGATCTCCTTGAGGTGAACAGCTGTACCATGTCCTATGAAGACTGATGTCAAGTAGCGAGTGCGAACTTCATTATGCTGCCACATTCTTATGAGGAAGTCCATTTGCTTTTTTCTGCAGTTTCTGATTGAGACTTTCATCAAATAGGATGGCATAATGGGAGGATTTCTTTATGTTGTCATACAGGAAGAACTGAATAAAGTTCCTCACAGAGTAGGGTTGGAAAAATTACTGCAAATTAGTATGGATGGTCCGAATGTAAATTGGAAAATGTATGATGATTTGTCAAGAGAATACAAATTGGAAGTGAACCGTTCCATACTCAACATGGGCTCGTGCGGGCTCCATATAGTTATAGGTGCTTTTCTAACAGGTGCCAAGGCTGCTGAGTGGGAGGTGGAGAGCTTCCTATCATCCTTGTATTATTTGTTTGCTGATGCCCCAGCCAGAAGAGAGGATCATGAGAAGATAACTGGAGATCATACCATGCCACTCAAGTTTTGCAAGACTCGATGGCTGGAAGATCTTCCTGTTGCAGAGAAAGCGATCAACATCTGGGAGAATGTATATATGTATGTTAAGGCAGTTGAAGAGAAGAAAATCTCTCCCCCAAAGAACAAGTCGTTTGAAACTGTTCAGAAGTGTACCAAGGTGGCTGATTTTCCAGCATGACTGAGCTTTTTCATATCTCTGGCAAAGTTGGCCAATCCCTTTCTAACAGACTACCAAACTGATGCGCCAATGTTGCCCTTCTTAGCCGAAGATCTAACCAGAATGCTTGCTTCCTTTATGCAGCAATTCTTAAAACTTGACAGGAGTACCTTACTTCTCCTTACAAGATAATGCAGGCAGATATTAGCAGCGAGGCCATTCAGCTGCCCTTGTCCAAGGTCGATATTGAATTCTACATTGAGAAAAAGCTAAAGGATGTGAAAGCAAAAAACATCATCAGTGAGCGAAGGATTCTGGAATTTCACGTCCAAGCAAAATAGTTTCTTGCTGCAATGACCCGCAAGCTCATTGACAGATGTCCGCTTAAGTATGCACTTGTCAGAAATATGGGATGCTTCAATCCAAAGAGCATGGCAAAAGATAAGGAAAACTCCACTGCAAAGCTGAAAAGGGTGCTTAGCTCCTTTACTGATGCAAACAGACTTAAGGATTCATGTGATGACATCCTAAGAGAATACTCAGAAGCATGTGATGAGGCATCAAGAAGCGCAGAGATGAGAGAATTTGATCCGAAGAAAGACAGACTGGACTCTCTGATGTGCACATTTCTGTCTGAGTCTCGCTATTCATCTTTGTTAAAGGTGGTCCACATGTTGCTTGTCTTGTCCCATGGACTAGCCTCTATTGAAAGAGGATTCTCCGGCAACAACAAAGTTGAAGAGGACAATCTTCTAGGGCACTCGCTTATATCTTTGAGGGCTATATATGATCATATCAAATACGTAGGAGGAATTCAGAACATTACTATCAACAAGTCACTCATGTTAGCCGCTTCAGCAGGTAGGCAAAAATACCATATGTATCTTGATGAGCAGAGACGTGAAAAGGAAAGTTTGCAAGTTTGCAGAGGAAGCCGAGTCAACTGGCAGATTAACTTGTATATCCAAATCAAACAGCCTCCAACGTACAGCAAAGGAGAAGATGTTCCAGTTAGAAGTGATTCAGAAACAAATTGATGAACAGCTGAATGTCATCAAGAATTCGTAAAGTAAGACACAGTGGAAAGTTTGCAGAGGAAGCTAAATCAACTGACAGTTTGACATGTATATCAAAATCAAACAGTCTCCTATGTTAACAGGTCTGTATGTACAGTAGAGGAGATTTCTAAGGTAGAAATCATTCAGAAACAAATTGATGAACAGCTCAATGCCATCAAGAATTCGTAAATTAAGACTCTGCACTGCAGACAAGTTTGCAGAGGAAGCTGAATCAACTTCAAACAGCTACTGACGTACAGCAAAGATGTCTCAAGAAGAACTCATTCAGAAACAAACTGATCAGCTAAATGCCACAAAGAATGCATAATGTAAATATTTTGTTGTTGTTGTTAATGGGGGGATGCAAAAGAAGAGACAGTGCAGTATATACGCTTTGCTTTAGGATAAAATTTTTCGGTCTACCATGTAAAAATTTGTTCAAAAGTCATGCAATTTCACATGTAAGAAAGTGTATGAACCCTGATGCTATAAATATGACTGCACGTACAGGAACCCAAATATACATTTTTAATTTTTTACCATATAAAATCATTAAAAAGGCCTAAATCAAAAAATGAAAAAGTTGTCTTGGTGTATTGGACAAAGGTAATCTTACCAAGTTTCAAATCAATCCACTGAGAAATGAAGGAATGGCAGTTGACTGAAATATGTTTGGAAGAAAGAAAACAGTATGTCTCTCTGCAGACACATAAATATTATATTTATTAGTAAAACTGTTTTACTGAATGGATTTTTACATTGGTCCCATGAAAAATTATCAAAGTGAAAAGAGATAAAAGCAATGAAAATATCAAAAATTAAATAATAGGTTTTTATACATCTATATTTAAAGAAGGATTACATTTTGAGCTAGCACTCTTCGTCAGATCGTATAGTTTATAACAAAGGCGCATTCGCAGAATTCAAAATGAAAGATTTTAATTCCTGTAGATTTCTATTTTTCCATTTTTTGTTTAAATTTTAATTGCTATCTACTTATCTTTTCATGACTTGTAATTTCTATGTAATAAATGTAATTTTGCTTAGAATTTTCACACTCAACATTCAAAATACTACGCACGCAAGTTCTTTAAAAAATAGTGTTTGCTTACACACGCATCCTTACCTCATCATTTCTGACAAAAGCCATTCTTCAAATCCTTTCTCTGCTGTTTCTAGTATTTTCCAAGCATTGGCTATATCCTGTAGAGAAATGTTGAAAAATAGATTATTTTAAAACATACTGCTAATGTAAGTAATGAAGGAAAACAATGATTTTTAATATTCTGGCCAACGTTAATATTGCATGCAGAAAAGTAACACGTTAACCTCATACACTGTGGTACTTTATTCAAGAAAAAGAAACTTGCTTCAATTAAGAATATCTGAAGTGAGATATATGATGATAAACAGATTGGAATTTTTAACATATCTCTTGATTTACTAAAATCTTGATAGATTTCCACATTTTATCCATATTGTGGGACATTTTTCAAAGCTGTTAATATACAGAAAATGAAATATGCGTATTTAAAAGTTTGACAAACAACAAAAATAAGTCTACAAATGCCCTAATACTACTATATGTTCTGACAAATTTTAATGTTTGAGAAATTAGATTGAATCTAAGCTAAAACAATGAATTTAATTTATTTTAAAATAATTAAGAATAACATCAATGAGATCCCTTTTCTAAATGTACTTAGGCAGAATTTTGCTAATATCAATTTTCAAACTTTTGATGAGCCCAACCCTAATTTCACATTTTTAAAGTTTAATATTAGTTAGTACCACTAAAGGCTTAGTCCTTGATAAGTATGTACAGCTGAAAAGCTAGGTACTAAACATTTATTCATTCATTATTACTACTACAACTACTTACAGAGTAAGAAGAAACTTGTTGCTTTTGCAAAATAAATGTTTTCACTTACAGAAACCATTTTGCCTTCACTTGGAAGATATGCAGGACGATTGCTCAGCCTTAATTTGGTCTGGAGAGTGTTGAAATTTGTTTCAAGTTTGGCTTTCTCTTCAACTCTTGGTGGTTTGCTAACTCTCCTATACTTTCGAAATTCTTCAAGCTTCTTTTGGACTCCATTTAATGTATTATCTGCTGTTCTGTTCTCAAGCCAAGGTGTGGTCTTATTGATCCAGTCAAGCAACTGGAATATACATGTTCAATAGGTAGCATACATACAGTATGCAACATTTCCATCCACAAAAAAGTTCTTCAGAAATTACTGAATAGTAAGTTTAACAGATAATTGAAAAATCTAGTCAGTTACTTCTGTTTTTAAATTTTATCTTGTGTTTGTTTTAAAGAGAGTTTATTTCTTAAGATTTTTAAAACACTTACATATTAAATTTAGTTACTTTTAAATCTTCAAAAATAATCTTTCAGAAACTTTTTAAATTCATTGTTTCTCTATTTCAGAATACAAAACTTTATGAGTGTGACGCAAGCTATGCTAAAACATACAAACATTTGAGAGAAAAAACAGATATAACAAACAAATTTACAAAACAAAAACTTAATTTTAAATAACATTGTAAAATAATAATAATACTTAGTTTTTGACTATCAAGAAAATGAGTGCACACCTTACTATCTAAATGCACATGCACACACACTCCAATTTAACGGATGTGAACAAAATGTGGATGCAAATATAATTTAGTAGATATTTTGCACAACAGCTTATTAAAAGCTTATCAAAGTTTTTAAAAAGGCCTAATGTTAGGCTTAGAATAACATTACAAGTTTATTTATTGATAGTATTAAGTACAGTAAAGTTTATCCCTAACTAAACTAAAGCAAAAAACGTATACAAGTTACAGTGTTAACTTATCTCTTTATCAAATATAGACTGTACACTTAATAAAGGCTTAACTACTGTTAGGCCTAAGACAAGTGGACTTGTAGATTTCAGTGTATACAATTACAATTCTTTTGTATTATTATAGAAATCCTATATTTAAAGAAGTACTGTTACAATAAAGATACTAATTCGACTGCAAATGTTTTGCAGGTCTCTGCTAGTCTACTCATAATACTTACATCACTGACCAGCCTCTCATATTCATCCATCAACCTTTCATTTTCTTGGTTCACCTTAAGCACTTTACAGATGCGGTTAGAAGCTGTTTCAGCCTGCAATATAAAAATAAAATATTATAGACAGTTACTTCCAAAATGGTGCTAATAAATAAACAATGTTTCCAATCACATGCACACATAAATTCATTTCAGACATTGAGCTCCCTAGATACTTAAAATAAGGGAAAATGTAGATGAACTTAGTAAATGTTGTTTACTTAAGTACTTTATGTACATTGAACATTTTTAAACAAAAAAGATATTTGTTATGAGAATATTTTAATTATATATTTCCTTCAATTGTTTTTTTCATAATGTATATAATTTTATATATTAATGCTCAAACAGTGGTAAGTTAAATGGCAAAATAACAATATAACTTATTATTTTCATTGTATTCTAGTTGATGGTATGATCAGTTCATGTACTGAGGGTATATATGTATATATATATATATAAATAACCAAACTTCAAACAGAAATATTTGAACACTGATAAAAAATAAAAAGGATGAAAAACTCCCCTTAATTTCCTTGAGATTATTCTAATTTTTAAATATGCTGATGAAAAACAAATGTATGCTTCTTCCTAAAGAACTTAGCTATGTTCTGTAACAGTTTATCATGTAACTTTTCACTGTCATATAAAACTAAATTACTTAATAAAAGGTAAATTATTAAGTGTTTAATAAAAGAAGAAAGATACACTATCTGATAATGTTATTATTTGTAACACAATTCAAACATGGATGAGTATTAGTTATCAAAGACTTGCCTGTTGAGCCCCAGAAAAAGTGTGATAATATGAAGAAACATATGTCATAACTGCTCGTTCATCTGGCATAGCAGTACTGTTGAGATCTACATAAAAAAATTATATTTCATGTCTGCAGTTGGAATGAGAAAAGATGCCCACAGAAAATTTAAAATCTACTAAATTTTACTTTGAGAAAACTTTGAATTTATAATTGAAAAACAACAACATATCATGTTAGGCTGTCTATAATTACTTTATTTTTTCAGAATCTTAGATTTTTTATTTCTTTTTTTCTTAAGGATGAAAATGGTTTTAACTAAAAAATGACAGGGATTGAAAACTGTCAACGACGTTTTTTTAACAGACGTGGAATGACCATTTGATATATAAAAATCATCTTTTCTTATATGAATATGAAAAAAACAATGTATACAATTTGAAAAAAGCTGAAAAAAATACTGTGGTAGTATCAAAAGTTAATTAATGTGCTGAAAGTTATACGACCATAACAATATCAAATCAAATATGGAAGTGAATGATAAGGTGCATATTTTACTTTGTATGTGCATGAAATTTTATATTATACTTAATATAGTATGCTTTTTGATAGTTTTGTTATTCTAACAATTTTAAATAACCATTTCAGCAACTGAAAAATTAGTATTTTAATTAAATATTGGTATACATATTTACACTAATTAGAATTAATGGAAGACTTTAAGGTTTGTGCAACAACAATTAAAATAACTCAATATATTTCATAAGTAGGACTTTCCAAGTATAGTCATAGTGCAAAAGTAAACAGCTGAGTACACAGCACTAATTGTTGAAACTAACATAAAAGTAGAACATTAACTATTAGAAAATTATATATACATACACAGAAAACAGTGAAATATTAAAAAGGATTTCAAATGACAAACCAAATCACAAGGCTATCTTGACAATTTATGTAGCATAGCAAATCAATAAGCATTTCATCAATATGTGTTCTTGCACATATTACTGTATCTAAGAACCCCCTTAGTTTTAAAAGGCAGTAAAGCCCAACACTGTTTCATGGATTTATTAGTATTACTACTGGTGTTTTAAGGCATGACAAACATAGGTTACAACTATGAATAATCTTTTCAGTTGTTTGATTTGAGCAAAGGAGATTCAAATAATCATATGTAAACTTTGTACAGAGGATGCAAATTTTCTGCTATTAAACACAAATTTTTATGGGCAGTGTTTTAAGAACTGGTTAGCACTATTTTCACCATGCATGAGTGTGTTACCTGGTGCAGCATGGCATCTTTTGAGTTTCACCCACTGTGGGTGTTTGCAGCTACTTCATCTGGAGAGATGATGAGAATTTTTCAGTTTCCAATCAAGCACAGCTGTGGTATGATATACAATGAAATACTTACCTAGACAGTTGATTTTTTAAATTCACTTTAAAAAACAATGTATAAGGTATTGAGGTAAAATTTGATAAGCACATTTTATAAAAACATACAAATTTATTATAAAAAAAGTAGGAAGAGTATTTGACATGTGAATTCCTAACATATTTAAAAAGTCAGCTCAAGTGCAAGAAATACGAGCCATTTAAAAAATGACTGAAAATACGACAGTTCACATTTAAAAAAACTGTTTTTAACATTTCAACTGACTGCAATACGTGCATAGAGGTAAGAGAGATTAGACTACACAGAAGCTAGATAAATAGTTAAACAAATAAGAAGTCAAGGAAGCAAACAGACAGAATGCTAAATACTTTTCTTAGTCCATAGTTTGACACTATTATAATTAGATTCAAATCTATACTTAAAAATTTAAATAAGTAGAAATAAACCTAACTAAAATAAAAGCAATCAATAAAATCCACCCTAGCAGAAGTGGAAAATGTTAAAATAAGAGTTTCTGCATTTGTAGTAGCTTCAAAAGCTCTATTTCCAATAGTCTGTTCCAGTTAATTAAAGTTCTTACACCCAATCAGATAGAAGCTCAAAAGCAAGTTTTATGATAATGAATAATAATAATCTAATATGTGGAGAAAGCAAAGAAATTAACAAGAAGGAATTCTTAAAGGTAACTTCTCCACAAATGAATTTCATTCATCAATAAAGTAGAGATAATTACTTGACAAAAGAGATTACTTTAGCAACTTCAACATGTATAACAAACAAAGCAGTACCAAACAAACAACTATATATACTCTAATACATCCCACAGTTCTGTATACCTATGGGATGGCATCTATCAAAGCAAACCTAATCTTCAGTGGGACCAATTATCTTAATCATAAGCCTAATTTCCTACTTTTTTGATATATTTCTGAAAAAAAAATTAAAGGTTACTATTTCAAGTTCAAAGAGCTACAACTTAACAGGATCTATAATTGATAACAATTTCCAAAAACTGAACCACAAGTTAGAAACTGACTTCATATTTGTTTTCACTCTAAACACAAGTGATCTAAAAACAGTAAGTATTTACTTTTGATGTTAAACCACTTTTGGATGTTTTATATGTGAAACAGAGCTGTGAAAAAATGACAAGATTGCTCCTTGTGGTTGACCACTAATACCAAATATCAGCCAACACAACAGTTAATATTCACTTATGACAGTTCCCATTTTGAACCTACACAAAATCCCCCCCAAAAAATCTAACAATACATAAGCTGCCTCGACAAATTTGAAGCCTGAACAGTATTGAATAAACTTAAGTTTATGACTTTTACAATACTATGATAAATTTCAATATGTCTTAGAATGACAGCAACCAACATGGCAAATAGTGGCTGTCAGGAAAAAAAATGTTTTAAACACATTTTTATGAGGGCTTTCAAAACAGATAAGATAAAGCAAAGGTACTGTTCTCATCAAGAGAAGAAAGCTGATCTGCTTTAATGTAACTCTTTTTAAATAATTTACTTTGCTTCTAGCAAAGAATAAAAATTGCAAAAATCATTTCTTATGCAACTGCACCCACTTCAGAAACAACATAAACATTTGCCATTTTGTTTCCATTCACTCTATTAACCCGAATTTGTTGAAAAAAAATTCCATTTTTTCCATGCATTTCAGAGAGATATATTTTAATACTTATTCTGATACTGAGTTTTGGTCATTGGTCTTGCAACTCTTCTTTTTTATTATTTACACCCATCATCATTTATGTCCTTTGAAATTATTTTGTTCCATACAAAAACATAATTTTTTAATATTTCTGAAAATAATATTTCATTTGTAAAAAAACTATGTTAAGCTTTAAACTAACCATCTGAATCCAACATCTTAGGAATGTTCAAGTGTTTCTCTGCAACATCAAAGGCCAGGTTGAGATTTTCGAGTGGATTATCCTGTCAGAAAAAACATGTCATATCAAAGTACAACATACTATATCACCTGATTAATGCTGGAGAAAAATGGGCAAAATAAGGAGTATTAATGAAAAATAATCTTAACAGGAAAAGAAGGAATTCATTTCGGTACTAACAAAGAAACAAAATTGTATATTATTCACACCAAACATAAAACCTTATCACAGTCCCATAACAAAACTGTTAAATAAATGTATGTAAAAAAATGAAACAATGAGGTGAATCAGTTTACATGGATCTATGCTTATCATTTGATACAGTAGTTTGAGAAATGAGCAGGAACTTAAGATAACTTTTGCTACAGGTAAAAATTTTTTTTTTTTTGCTGGATAAGTCAATCTATTCACCTATTTAATGAGTTATTTAGACTGCCAAAATATGAGCCCAATTTAAAGCATTTCTGATAAAACTATCCAGATATTTCACTTTCAGAAGCTTAGTTGTTGTACTGGGGGTCTAAAATTTTGGTTGGTTGATTGTTTGAGGTTTTCTGGGACAAAGCTATGGGGCTACCTGTGCCAAACAATCAGTAAAAAATAATAAAGTAAAATACTATAAAGACTAAAAAGAAAACAAACTAAAAATCAAACAATGCCAAGAAACAGGTTAAAAAACTTAAATAGAATAAAAAAGGCCAATGGCCCTTAAAAATTAAAAAACACAATCAAGATGAACAGTGTCACCATCACTAATGAAACCATCCAACCATCAGGGGTAAACCCGAAGGATATACATGTTGAAAATGGTGCCACCACTCACAGTCATAATGACGGCACGACAGTAAAATGTGGGCTAATGTGACATGAGTGTCACAAAGGCAACACCCTAGTGGATCAGTCCCAGATAAAAGAAAATAATTAGTTAAAAAACTGTGTAGCCTAGCGAAAACAACTTCATCCTTTTGATCCTTACGGAAACAAGACGGTCAAAGAACAACAGAAGTTTTGATCTGGAAAAACTTGTTATGATGTTTCTCACTCCAAATCCATTGCAAAATCGTGCAAAGCCAAGCCTTGGACACAGGACCATAGTCCTTGTATGGGACAAGCATGGCTGTTATTGCACCAGAGCAGATGAACTTAGCTGCGGTGTCAGCAAGCTTTTTACCACTTATACCGACATGACCAGATATCCAGAAAAACTGGATAGAAATGGAAGATAGATAAAAATAGGACAGTCATTTTTGAATATTGAAGAGAACAGGGTGAGAGCTAACATTATGCAATTCCAGAGCCAGAAGACAGCTAAGAGAGTTGGTGTAAATAGTACAGTCAGTGTACTGGTCAATTTCTACGTGATCCAAAGCAAGAGAAATGGCATACAACTTGGCAGTGAACACAGAAACTGTAGAGGGGATCCTGTGAGCAACCACTGAGCCACAACAAACCATGGAAGAGCCCACTGAGTCATCTGATTTCGAACCATCTGCGAAAACGGGAACAGAAGAATGGTTCGAAAGATGTTCAGCAAAGAGAAGATGGCACTTCCAATTGGGTGTATCCACCTTCCTCATATGATTCAAGAAAATGTCACAGGTGGAGATGGTAACAAGCTATGGTGGGATGGTCCCATCATCGGACTCAGCAATGCCATCCAATGATAGACCCAATTCAGCCAGCTTTGCCTGGATACAAAGGCCAAAAAGGAGGAATGGCAGACCATCTATTTTGAAAGACACAACCCCAGGTGGGATGCTGTGGTAAGGATCAAAGCTTGGTAGCATACTGTAAAGAAGGGTGCAAACAGTGGAGGTGAAGAGGAAGTTTGTGGGACTCAGTGTATAGAATATGGACTGGCAAAGTGTGGAAGGCCCCTGTGCAGATTCAAAGCCCCAGATGGTGAACAGGGTCCAACACCTTCAATGCAGAGGATCTGGCAGAACCACAGACCCATAGTCCAACTTGGATTGTATGAGAGCACGACAGATCTTGAGCAAAGAACATTGATCCGCTCCCCATGAGGTGAAAGAGAGGACATGGAGGATGTTCAGTGCCCTTCTTGTACACTTGACACGAAACTGCTTAATATGAAAAATGAAAGTAAGCTTACGGTCAAAGATAAGTCCCACGAACTTTGTCTCAAAAACCATGGGAAGAACAACACCAAGATGGAGCTTGGAGTGTAAATCCTGTTGGTGGCAGGAGTGCATGCAAATGGTTTTGGAGAAAGAAAGGTAAAAACATTTGCTGTGGTCCACTTCATCAAGTGAATGTGGGCAGTCTGAAGCTGCCGCTCAATAAACCTCATGTTTGACGACTGACAAGAGACGTGGAGGTCATTGATATAGAGCCCATTTGAAACAGTAGGAGGAAGTTGACGAGTAATAGCATTGATTTTAACACCAAAAAGCATGACACTCAAGATACAGCCTGAGAGACTCCAAGCTTGTGTGTGAAAGAACAGGAAAGGGTCAAACCAACACGGATTTGGAATTGCCTGTCAAGTAAAAAATTACTAATGAAAATGGGTAAATGGCCATAAAACCCAAAATGTCAAGCCTCCATGTAGTGTCATAAACCTTCTAAAGATAAATGAAGAAGACAGAAACAAGATGATCTCTCTTGAGGAGAGGTTCACTGATCAAGATTTCAAGTTGAATCATGTAGTCCATGGAACCCACACTGGGTGGGCGAGAGTAGGTTGTTTGATTCAAGGAAACAAACAAAATGAGCATTAACCATCCTTTCCAAGCATTACTGAAACAACTAGTCAAAGAAATAGGATGATAATTAGAAGGAATCTTGGGATCCTTCCCAGGCTTTGAAAAAGGTGGAGTAGGAAAAACGTTCTCCTACCAGATCCATTTAAAAACAACCAGAAGAGCAAGAGAGGCAGGAGTAAGAATGAGCATGGGTCCATTGGAAAGCAATGCAGTCAGAAAGAGTAGGATACTTGCAAAAGGTATCCCAGGCCTGTTTCTGAGCCTTTCATGCCAGCAAGAGACCACCATGGATGAGGATACTGTAACAAGGTTTTGGGGATAGAATGAACAGCTGCTTGAATTATACAATTAGTTACTGCTTCCACGTAGTCCTTAATAGATGGAAGACTAACAACAGTAGGATCAAGTTCCGAGAGACAGGTGAAAGAGAGCCAGTCAGCCTGCTCCAACTTCTACCATGGTGCTCGGGTCGGGTGGTATAAACCATGGCCAACCATGGAAAATAATCACTGCCACATGGGTCACTGTCAACCATCTAAGAAAAATGAGAAAAAAGTGAAGGGTAACAGATAGATAGATCAATAGCAGTAAAAAACTGAGTAGGTGCATTAAAATAGGTAAAAGCACTAGGTTGTGATCTGAGAGAATACGCTCCACAGAACAATTCCTCCCATCAATATCAGAGCCACCCCAGAGGGTGTTGTTTCCAATAAAGTCTCCCAGAATTAAAAAGGGAAACAGCAACTGTTCTACAATAGCATCAATGTCTGATTGATTGTAAGTCTATCTGGGAGACAGGTAAAGAGAACAAATAGTAATGATACGACCCAAGGAGATACATATGGCTACAGCCTCCAAGGGCATATTGAGTGACACAGACAAGGTGGGTATATGCTGGTTATCCAGCAGTGCCACACCTCCATGAATTGTCTATCACACAACCTGTCATTCCTGTATAGAGAAAACTGCTGAAAGGTAACAGTATCAGCAGGTTTCAAGAATGTTTCCTGTAAGGAGAGACACACGGGATGACAGGAATCGATCAAAGCCTTGATGTCATCCAAATTAGGATGAAAACCTCGATAATTCAACTGTATCAATGTGGCCATTTTCATTTAGGTAGAGGAGAAGTGGGTGAAGAACCTTTTTGCTTGCAACCACACCATTTTTCTTTATTAGAAGGAAGTCTGTTGACCTCCATGGAACATGCCCTGGATTGACTGGGCAGATCTCTGTCAGAGGATGGAGACTCCAGAGACTGAGGACGAGACCGATTAATGGTCTGCACCTCATGGCCAAAGGAAATGGACCCGCGCAGTCACTGGAAGCAATAATGGGGACAGAGACAGGAGTAGATGTTGACTTCTCAACTCATGCAACCATGGAGGGCAAAAGACTCTTCACATGGTGTGAGAAAGACTCTGATGGAGGCACAGAATGATCTATTTACACTCCCACTGTAGCAGTGGAATGGAGAGCAGCAGAATATGTCCGAAATGGAGCAGGGGGCAACAACTTCCGAGCCTCTGGATAAGAAATGTTATTTACAGTTTTTAAGCATTGTACCTCTTTTTCCTCAACCCACTTAGGACAAGAACAAAAATAAGAGGGATGGGAACTATCACAATTGATGCAGTGAGGGTCCAATTGACACTTGTAGGCATCATGGTCTTTGCCACCACAATGAGCCTGATTCAAAGAATCACGACAAGATGCCTTTGAATGTCCAAACCACTGACACTGGAAACATCTGAGAAGGTTAGGAATATACGGCCATACCTTACAGTTAAGATAACCTGTCTTGACAGAGGCAGGTGGATGTGATGATTTAAATGTCAAAATCACAACATTTGTAGGCAACATAATTCCTTCTTTACAAGTGGAGATATGTCTCACCACAGAAACTCCTTGGCTGGAGAAACCAGCGAGGACCTCTGACTCAGGGATATTCTGTAAATCCCTCTCAAGGATGACTCCTAGGGAAGAATTTAAAGAAGCATAGGGAGCAACCTCAATAGGTATATCCCCAATGGCCTTCAAATTCAGGAGGAGTTCACTGTGTGTAGGTGTAAATGTTTCCACCAAGATGTCTCCAGAACCGAGCTTCTTTATTGACCCTTTATTAACCCTTCTGAATGAAAAAAAGAAAGAGACATTTGCCCTAGGATTTGTCAAACAAAGAACGAAGAATTAAAAATCAAGGTACAGGAGCTGACTTGAGTGGTGACTGTCGTCATGTGTGGTCACTTTCATATTAACTGTTTTTTTAATGTTTTATTTTTATCTGGATTTGGGGGATCCATAAGAAAATGAAAATGATTTTGTGCCCACTGACCCCATTCACCATGGAGTCCTTGAGGGGACACATTGCAATGCCTAGGAAGAACATTATAGCACTGCCAGGGCTTTGTGAGCACTATACCCAAACACCAGGATCAGACATATTGTCCACAACACCCATTGAGAATGCCAAGCACTGATACTCAGTTGATCCTAGCCCAACAGGCACATTTACAGGAATACAAGGCCAAAGTGGTGTGTTGCAGTGCCCCAGACACCACTCAACCACTAGGATCCTCTCCTCCCCTTCATGAGTCACCATGCAAGGCAAACACACGTTGGTGGATGTTCAGATCCCAGAAGAGGTAAACTGAAGATACAGAACCTTCCCTAGGAGGCCCCCTCACCACGTACAAGAATACAGCTCGAAGAGTCTAAAATTTTGTTTTCATTCTTGGACAGTTGATAACGATTACTACTTAGGTTTATATATTAAGACAGATGTAAGGCAAATTATACTTTCTATATGTTTATAATTCATCATCAGAGAAAAATTCAAACCTGAATACAAGTATTTAAATAACAATAATATGCACCCGTTATGGAATGTCTCACCAATTTTTTCAGGTAATTATACACTTTATAATTGATTAATTAATTATTAATATAATTATTATAATTAAAAATTATATATTTTTATATATTATATATTCAGTTAATTATATTATTTTGAAACAAATTACAAATAATCATTAAAAAGAATGAACATGTGAAAAACAATTGCTTTTGTATGTCACAATCAAATTTTGTACTAATACCTCTTGGCTATTTTAGTCAGATAATTATTAAAAAGAGGAAGATTCAACAACATTTCCTGTTTAAAATAATTTGTTACAATAAATCATATGAAGAACAGACAAGTTTTTCTACCGATAAAAGTTTTTTTTTATTAATGTTGTGCAAGAACTTTAAGACAGAAAAGATATCTTGTAATAAATAATTTTCAAATAAATCTATATATTTATCAAGTACTTTACACTCACTCACCTTTGATAGTTTGCTGTAATCTAATAAATCTGGCCTGTGTCGATGAATCAAAGCACAAAATGCTAATCCATCTTTCCAGCTGCAGAAAATAACATATGTAATTCAAACATATTTCTTGGTGAAGTTTCTAAGAATAGCTGTGATGGATGTTATTAAAATAATTACATATTAAATACCAAAACTTGTAAAAAAAAAAGTAATATAATTCTGTATTCTCTAACGCTTCATTACAAGAGATTCTAAACCCTAATTCATCTACCTAAGTACCTGTTATGTTTCTACACCAATAGAGCAAGTTGCATTCATTTAAGCAAAAAAAATATATGGCAGCTCCTAGTTAATGTGGATCCTTCCATTAGTGTGTCGATGTTATGATGTTTAGAATATATTGTGCTACACTGAATATTAACATTTTCTTACACTGTAAATATATTTCAGATATGTACTTACCTTTCTCACACAAAGCTATCTCAATCTTCTTTCTACCCCCTAAGCATTTCAATGCTCAGCACACTGGTAAATATTGCTAGCATGAGAATAAAAATATCAGGGGATATCAGTGACACCCCTTGAAAATTATCATATGCAACCATTCTGATAATGAAGTCCAATTTCATTTTGACTTTGAAATTACTGTTTAACCCTATCTCTATGGGTCTTCCAATGGCCATATCATCACGTTTGTAGACTTGCATTCAGAATTTTATTGAACTACTATTTCATGAATGTATGTCAATAAGTTTGGTATCAAATTGTAAATTATAATTCAAATTTCAGTATGATTCATTAGTTAATTTCTTAATTTAAAAGTAAATATTAAAAAATAAATCCTAAATATAAATTTTTGTGTGACAAGTGGTATGTTGAATGCAGCATTGGTTCAAATTAGATGTTTGTGATATCAAAATACTAAGTCTATAGTTTCGTATGATTTGTTTGTTTGTTTTGAATTTCGCGTAAAGCTACACGAGGCCTATGTGCGCTAGCCATCCCTAATTTAGCAATGTAAGACTAGAGGGAAGGCAGCTAGTCATCACCACCCACCACCAACTCTTGGGCTACTATTTACCAACGAATAGTGGAATTGACCGTCACACCGTATAATGCCCCCGAGGCTGAAAGGGCGAGCAAGTTTAGCGGGATGGGGATTCGAACCCGCGACCCTCAGATTGCGAGTCGAGCGCCCTAACCACTTGAAAACTCAAATTACAGATAATGACAAGCTAGAATATAAAATAAGAAGGTCTTATCTTTTCTATTTGCTAAGCTATCA